TATGTAGTGATTTGTATAGCTCTCGCTTGTTAGAAGAAGTCTCCGGTGTTGGTCTAGATGTGGTTAATGTGTCTGTACCCACTAGTATGGGCAGAACTGCTGTCCCAGCCTTCTCGATTATTTCATTGTCTGATACGTCCATTGTTTTGAAGTTTGACCAAATGTCATTTATCTCGGACCATGATCTTATTTTTTGTGCATTTGATATTAATTTTGGCAACCATAGTATTTCAGCTAGTCCATCCGTTTCACCAGATTACCGTTTACTAGACGCAACCAATCTTTTAAAATCCATATCAAGTATTAATTGGTCCGCTTGCTGGGGTTTAAGCTTAGTGAACGAGAAATTGAGCTTTTTGAATGAGATCGTTTTATATCTGTATAGTACTCACGTTCCAAATCGCACTTACCATGGTAAATCTCCCTCGTGCCCTTGGTTCAACAAATCGGTTCGGGCGATGTTTGTAAAGCGAAATAAAAGATATTCTCTCTGGAAAAAGAACCGCACTGAGGACAACTGGCGTGCATATAAACTTATCCGAAATGAGACCACGGCCATCATAAAGCGTGAGAAGTGCAAGTATTATAGCAAAATGTTGGATATCTCGCTACCAAATCATGTTTTGTGGCGCAACCTAAAAAACCTTCGTATACATGTTAGTGACAGTCCTGATTGTTCCCTTAGTCCTGAAGACCTTAATGATGCTTTTGTCAATCGTGTTACCCCATCTTGTATTAATGCTTGCTTTACATCCTGTCCTTCATCTGTTGTGTCTGCTTGTCAAGTCTTTGAGTTTAAAGCTGTGTCAGAAGTTGAAGTGNAATCAGGAATATCTGGTAGCGCTACTGAGCATGTGTTAGTTGAAGTGACTAGTTCANGAGCATACCAATTAAATTTGTAAAAATAATTGCACCGTACATTCTGCTTACTCTCACCCATGTCATCAATCATAGTATCACAACTTCATGTTTCCCTGATGCATGGAAGGTTGCCATGGTGCAACCAATTGCTAAAAACAAGTCTGCGTGTAGTCCCAGTGATTTTCGACCAATAAGCATTTTACCCGCACTCTCCAAAGTCTTCGAGATATTGATGTCTGCCGTCTCCGTTCCAGTCAGGCTTCAGAGCAAAGCATAGCTGCTCCACGGCTATCTTAAAAATTTTAGATGGCATTAGAGTACCGTTTGACAAAAACCAATTGACTTTATTATGCCTATTTGACTTCTCTAAAGCTTTTGACTCTGTGAATCATGACTTACTTTGCAAGAAGTTAAAATACTATTCTGGTTTTGGGGATTCCGCAACGCGTCTCATGCGGAGCTACGTGGCGGGTAGAACCCAGTGTGTTAAAGTAGGCTCGAAAACTTCTGGTCTAAAACCACCGCTAGCTGGTGTACCCCAAGGATCTATCTTAGGTCCATTATTATTCAGTCTCTTTATAAATGACATCTTTTCTGCTTGCCAGCATGTATATATGCATGCGTATGCTGATGACATTCAGCTATATCTGTCTGGAAATTATGGAGAAACAAGGGAAATCTGTACAAGGTGTACAAGTGAAAAATCGTATGTGCTACCTATATCTACAAAACGAATAAGTTTTGCAAATATCCCGCCTTTATATATTGCCGATAAGTGTCTTAAGCTCGTGTCAAAAGTGGCCAACCTCGGGTTCATCATTAACAGTAGCTTAACGTGTGATGACCATGTGAGCTCGATAGTTAGCAGAGTGTATAATATCTTAAGAAATTTAAGCATGTCTGCAACTTTTACGCCGGTCCATGTTAGGAGAAAACTTGCTATACAACTAATAATGCCTACCATTTGCTACCCTGAACTAGTCTACAGTAAACTAAGCTCCAAATCTGCTCATAAAATTGATGTTACATTCAACCATGTTACACTCTATGTGTTCGGGTTGGCAAAATTTGACCATATCTCTGGTTGGAGTATGAGTTTACTAGGCTGTGAAATTGCTAACTATCTGAAACCTAGAAACTGCATCTTTCTCTGTCGGCTAATTATGTATAAGGAGCCTAGCTATCTATATGACAAGCTCATTTTCCCTAAGTCAGCTCAAATTAATGACTTGATAGTACCAAGTTATAATTATCAAACCTCCGCGCGGCTATTCTTTGTCAATGCTATTCGTACATGGAACTCTATTCCAATGTCCATTCGCAGTAGTCTAAGTAAAAGCAACTTTAAGTTCGTTCTATATTCGTACTTTCGTTAAAACAAATATATACATATGTATATATTTTGCATAATTATGAGTTTCCCTATCTAACTATATATTTTTCAGCCATTGCGGATAGCCATTGTATTGATTTTAAGTGTATGTTTATTACAAATCTTAGTCTTAAGAATTACTATTTATTTATTTTATTTTTCTGACTTTTCCTGTTATTTGTTGTACTATAAAAGATCGTAGATCATATTGTACTAATGTTTTTTCGCAATAAATGAAATGAAATGAAATAATCGATGTTGAGTCAATTAGCTTCAGCAGTTTTCGTGTTTCTGTAATTTCCCGTTATATGGGAGGTGGGCCTGGCTATTGCCCGATTTCAATAATTTTCAGCAAATTTTTTAGCTGGATCCTAAGCAAGGCTCGTACCGAGTTTGGTAAGGATTGGTGAAGCGGATACTAAGATAGAGTATTTCATCATAAGTGGGCGGGGTCAAGCCCCGTTTCGAAAAAATTCACAATAATATTATATTGTACCGAAATTCTACTTCACATACTAATTTTCAACAATTTGTATCAAATATTTTCTGAATTATCATAGTTGTTGCATTTTTCGAAAATACTGTTATATGAGAAGGGGCGTTGTTACGGTCCGATTTCGCGCATTTTCAAGAGCAACCTACCTTAGATAAAGGGCCACAACCTACAGTATCGGTCATATCTATAGCACGCCATTTCAAAGTGATATTGTGTGCCACTTATGTCTATTTATTTATTTTTAAGAATTTTTAATTAAAATACAGTTCTTTCTCTAACAAAACCCATATAAACCCAAGTTTAAAAACTTATAGAACCCTACAAAAAATTTTCACCTAAATTTCAAACTTTTTTCTCGGAAGTGTTTGAATTTTTCTGAATACACAGTTTTGTAGCCCAATCAATTTTAGTCTGATAATGTGCACGTTTCAAGTGGCTAAAAGTTACCGCTGATTTTTTAGAATTTTTTTCACCAAGGATGTTACGGTTTTCTTCCATATACAAATAAATTGAGTTTATTCATTATATGGAAGCCAATGCGACAAAAAAAAAAATCTAAAAAATTAACGGTAATTCGTAGCCACTTGAAATTTGCACATTATTAGACTAAAATTGCAGGGGCTAAAAAACTGTGTACTCAAAAAAATTCTATCACTTCCGAGGAAAAACTTTGAAATTTAGGTGAAAATTTGTTACACTTTTTTGTAGTTTTCTACAAATCGTTGTTGTTATAATACCCTTGTGCGCAAGTGCGCTCGGGTATAAGTATTACACATTTTTAGTGAAATCTTTTACAGCAGTTAATTAATTAATGACAATCGAAAAAGCAATAATATATAATTTCTATAGTAAATATTAACTTAAATTTTTTCCGCAGAGGGTTTGTCCAAATATTGATATTTGCTCGTTTCATGTATTGGTTTCTGCGTTACAAATTGGTCAAACCAGGAATCATAAAACTATTAAATGTATACCAGTTCACATTTAAAAGAGGACAAGTTATACAAGATCATCAAATATTTAGCCAAACCCAAAATTGTTCTGGTTAGGATCGAATATGTATTTTTATTTATTTACTTGTTTATTGTCTACCGATTTCTCTTACAGACTAAACATTAACTTAAAGTTACTTATATCTAGGCTAAAGTTCAGGTCTCCAGCATAATCATTGCCCATGCGAACACACTCGTATGTGTTCACTAAAACCATAATTAGTCGTATGTGCAGTTTCTACGAAAAAAAAATGTCTCCTTAATTCACGGAATGGGGCTTGATACTTAACTAGAACAGCGATTTGCTCACAGTAGATATTAGAGTTTAACAGTTTATATGTTTATATTTTTAAAAATACCTTTGGAGGTCAGTTTTCTAAAAATTACATTGCATGTGATATCAGTCAACGTATAATATATTTTTACCTAATACAGTTATTAGAGAAAATATACGAAGTATGCACTGTTTTTAATATTTTTATTGAGCTTTGTACCACGATTGTTTTATTAGGACAATTTTAAAAAGCAACAAAGTCTAAGCGGTAGAAGTTATTGCAGCTATTTCGGAGATCACCACATCTCCTCATCAGACTTCTTTTTTCTAGACTTCAGCAGGGATCGAACCTGCGAAATCGATGTGCAAAGTCAGAAGCGTTAACCACTGAGCTATGTACACCCCGTAAACTCTTGTTGCTAATTCATTTTCCGTATTCAACCAATACTATCAAGTTCAGCTGATTTGCCGCTATTTAAACTCGACACGACGTAATCGATGTGCAAAGTCAGAAGCCTTAACCACTGAGCTAAGTACACCCCGTACTGTTTGTTTTACAATTCCACCCCAAAGGTATGCACTTATGTAAACTACTGAGAAACATCGAAAACATCGATGGTCCCAAATATCGCTTGTTTTCCAGCTCTAATTTGAACCGATTAGGATGATTAGTTTTTTATTAGGAAAGTTGTTGTTGCAGTTCTAATGATTGCATCATTGACAAAATAAATAACTGACTCTTTATAATTTTATTATTACCGCACAAAAATTCGGGTGCATAATTTAAGTTGGTTGTATTTTTTTTTATTATATGCATTCATTTGAAAAATGGGCACATACAACTTATTGGAACTATATAGAAACAACGTTTAAAAAGAGCTTTTGAATTCTAAAAGATGAACTAGCAAACATCTTTATAATTAGGGAATGATTTTAAAGGTATTTTTGATCATATACGCGCGGTAATTTTTTCGGTCACAGTATTTTGACTAAAAAAAAGCATACCTGTTACTAGTTTTGTGGGATGAATAGGCGGATGTGCCTGATCACTTTTGTTGCCATTCCGAGGATTAGGACCCCATTCGCCTACCCGACGCGCGAAATTGCCCCAATCCGGATGTTGATTGAACTGCTCGACTAAGGCTCTATAATTAAGAGATAGTAAAAAAATATATAAACAAAAATTACTACTTTTAAAACACACGCACATATATACCTACCTCAAATCTATATCCTTAGAGAATTGATTTGTTTCTGTGCGTGGATAACTGATTATACCTTTGGAATAAAGCTTTTCTGCAATAGTCATTGTTTCTTTCGCCGAAATTTTAAGCTTACGCGATCCTAACTTTTCCATCTCTACAGTGTCCAATGGAGTTGGTCGCCACTTATGTTTTGTTTTAACTGTAACTTCTTCGACTTTTGCTTTTGGATCGGCCAAACACAGCAATAGGTAATCTTCACAAGCCGCTTTATCAAATAATCGGTTCCGAGCCCAAATGAAATCGACGGTTAGATCATCAGTCATGTGTGAAACTGTTAAAGTGTTTTATGTAATTAAATTTTGATTTTACAAATATGAATGTACTCTAACTTATCAAACAAACTACAGCACATATACATTAGAACCGGGTCGGTCCTTGTACAGTAGCAGGAAGTTTCTAGTCAGTTGACTCATAAGGCGGCCTAAAGCTAATATATATAACTCAGTCAAAGTCGACTTCAACCCTCATATTCTTTAACCCTAGGGTTAAATGCAAGCGTCAGAAAAGTCATGGCCGATGAAATGAGAGAATTATTTTACCTTATGATATATTTATCATATCCACTGTGAAGAACCTGACAATGAAAATAATGTACATTGCATATGAACGCCGTCTGTTAGTAAATCAAATAAATAGCACTATACAACTTTAGATCCTATAAAATAACGTAACACAATGGGACTCATGCATACTCATAAGGTTAAAGAAAATGGATTATGTGCATTTTAGGCGTAAGGCCTTTGTATTGAAAATGTATGGCCAATATAAAATATGCACCGAAAAGTTTGAAGTCTCACTATGACGTCTGTAAAAATAAACTTATACGAAAATTTTTGAACTTGAGTATGTACAGTCATGTGAAAAATTGAAAAATAACACGGTGCTACAAAAAAAAAGTAATGAAATACACCGGTAACTAAACCTAGTGTAGGTTGTAGCTATGGGTAAGTACAACATAAAAATATGTCCGTATAGTTCCTGAACCCTCCATTTTTACTTTATTTAAAAACAACCGCTACACATTAGGTCAAATGATTCATTCGGCTGTGCGAAAGGCCAATTTCGTAAAGGCAGTTTTACATTATGTTTTGTTGCCATTCTGTAGGGAATACACCAAAATAACAGAAACTTCACTTCATTTTTGTAAAATAAAAAACACCGTTAGACAGCAATAAACAAAAGTTACACTTTTAAAACGTTATTGACACGTTGTTTGCGCAACCGGTTTATTTTGTAAGTTTCAAGTGCATTTTTTTTTGTAGAGTTCGAAAAATTTAAGGAAAATTTTAAATTGAAAACAAAACTATTACAGGTCTATTCTGCGCGTTACCGAAGATTTTGTAACCGGGAAATTTTATTACCAAAAAATTTTACCAGTTCTTGTCACCGCGATTTTAGGAACGTTGGTAATGCGGTTAAAATATTCAGCGATTCAGCTATGAAGAATTGTGCAAATTCTGGCATTGCATATTTCACGGGGCAATACTTTGTTACCAGCTTATGACATGGTAACAAAATTTACCGGTTACAAGAGTATACAGAATGCGAAAAGGGTTTAAAAATTGACAGGAACTTTATTTACCGGGTACAAACTTTTTATTACCAGCGCAGAATAGACCTGTAAGTGAGAACCTATGTCCCAATCAAAAACAGTGATTTTTTATCATTTGTTTGCAAAAAAAACTACCTTATTTGCATAACCTCACAAATTTTCTGATTTATTTCCATTTATGATTTTATGTAAGCTTTTACAATTTTGTTAACTTTCGGCAAACGAAATAGAAAAGGAAATGGATTTTTTCTGGGCTATCATGCTATTACAAAAGGCGAGTTGTTTGAAGTTTGGCTGATTGGATGTTCGAAAAATGGTTGTCAACCATGTTGAAAAAAAAGTTTCTGCTGCTGATATTTGCGAAAGTTCCATTAAACTCTTAGGGCCGGTTGTTCAACGTCTGATTAGCACAAATCGGAGGTAGAATCTCCGGTTAAGCATAACTACTGCTTTATCGATCACATGTTACATGCATGATGTCGAAATCGTCGATAGTGTAGTGGTAGTGATAACCAGACATTGAACAACCGGCCCTTAGAAGTAAAAACGCGTATTTTTTGTAATTATTTATCAAAGAAATACGAAAATTATGGAAAACAATTTGGAAAGGATGCTTTAGATCTGAAAACATAGCGTTTCTTGCAGATGAAGTTCTTTTCGAAATCAAAAAGCCAACTGTGTCGACCAGCAGCCGGATTCTAACTTTCGCTATCGCTAAAATGCTAAAGTACGGAAGCTAACATTTTTTCCAAATTTTTAGCTATCTCTAAAAATTGCGGTGCTTCCCTCCCTTTCGCTAAAAATAGGTAAGCCTCAATTTTTTGGTGATAAATAGTCAATTTTAATGGTGATAAATAATGATGAGTATGTGATAGCGAAAAAATAGCAGCCTCGATTTGGATCAGTGTTGCCGTTTTAGCCCTTTGGTGGCTAGATTTAGCTACCACATAGTTTTTTTGGCCACATAAATTTAAAATTGCCCCTGGCCCTTTTATTTAGCCCTTTGGAGAATTTATTCATACTTGGCATGAGAAAGTTGTATATGCTTAATTTGATCTATTTTTTTTTTCATTTATGTAAGAGATGAATTTTTAAAATAAGAAAGACTGNGGCCCTTTTATTTAGCCCTTTGGAGAATTTATTCATACTTGGCATGAGAAAGTTGTATA